CACCCCCCCCCCCCGACCCGGCCCCGCCCCTCTACCCCGCCATTCATCATCCTCCATCAGTTTTGACTGGTAAGGATACAGATTTGTTATTGAATGTTTCCGATCCGAGCCCAGACAAGATGTCTCAATTTGCTATGCAAAATGGGAGCGGTGTCCTCGGGGATCCTAAAGCTATGCATGACCTCAAACATTTGGAGATGGACAAACACACCGATTTCATATTAATATTCATCTAAATATTTCACTTTGTCTTGTTGATGTCATGTATTAAAGCAAGGACATATCAATGAACATGTTGTACAGTAATATCATTTAGTTACCATGGTATTATACTAAGATATTATAAGAATTTGCTGAATATATCGGAACACTGATTTGCATGTTACGAGATAAATTTTCACGAGAGAACTTCTTCAATTTTATCCTGCTTACTGTTCAGCATTGTTTATATTTCATATCCAAATTGCTTGGTAGATAAATAAATTCTTTGTATCACTTAACATGGAGTTTTCGTCTTGCTTTGCTCTTTAAAGTCTTTGGTTCATTTTCAATTTTCTCTACAAAATAGACTCGAACCGTATTGATTTTTTCTCATGTATTCTAAAAAAGGGAAACACAAAATTTCCCGTATCCGAAACGGTAATACTCTCTCCTCCTCGTCATATCAACGATCAAGAGAAAATGAGTATGATGTATGATGAGCTTAGCGAGAGGGACATCATGGATTTAGAGCTCGGGTAATCCTACTGGGTTGTCGCCATACGATTTCATAATGAGCATCCCATTCACGTCTTTGCATTATCAGTCCTTCTGCCGCTGAGGCGTACCTAGCTTGTATTCATTATTTTTTAAATATTTAATCTTTTGGTTTGTATTTGTTCCCTTTTGTTCTGAGCGATAAATTTTGAGTATCTTTTGCCTGTTTGCATTTCCTTCCTCTTCGTCTCTCACTCACTGCCTCTCTCTCTCTCTCTCTCTCTCTCTCTCTCTCTCCCTTTCTCGTTCTCTTTCTCTTTCTAGGTTTGTTTCATTCTTTCTCTCTATTTCTCTTTCTCTCTCTCTTGCTTTCTTTTTTCTTTTTTCTCTGCCCCCTGTCACTCCTACTCTGTTCCTTTATCAGTCCCATCCCCATCTCCCATAATTTTATTCACTTTCATTCTCTCTCTCTCTCTCTCTCTCTCTCTCTCTCTCTCCTTTTCTTTCTCCCTCTCTCTCTCTTTCTCTCCAACACAGACACACACACACGCACTCTCTCTCTCTCGCTCTCTCTCTCTCTCTCTCTCTCTCCCTCTCTTTCTCTATTTTTATCGATTTTCGTCTTCAAAGTCACACACACCCCTCGTTCATGCTATTGATTATTTTCCCTTTAGTTCTCTTGATTTTGTAAATCGTTTAATGTTCATGCTCTGCGCCCTGAATATTAATGTTCATATTTTGAGTCATCATCTTTTGAAAAATCTAGTCTAAGCATGATTTTATCTTTTCACCTCTCCATTTCAACCCTTTCTTCATTCACTCTTTTTCCCTAAATGTTCACCTCTTCTATATTCTGTGTGCTCTTAGTTTTCCTCTCTCTTTCACTCATCTTTTCTCTAGGTTTGCTTCCTCCGATCTCGTTGACTCATGTCATATACTAGGGACTTTTAGATTTGCGTAGCCTGATAAGTGTGACGTCCATTCAAGGCAGTGCATTAAAAGGACGTCGACCGTAGCAATCCACATTGTCTTCGTGCAAATCTAAAAGTCCCTATTACCTCATCGCCTCACCTTTCGACAAAATAAGATGTAAAGGAAAATGAGTTCTGACGAAAAAGCAATTTAGATATATTTCTTTGATGGGGGAAAGGAAAGTAGAAAAGGTGGATAGAGAAAGAAAGAGGGAGTAGGTGAAGGTGAATAGATGGGGGTAGACAGACAGATAGGGAGAAATAGAGAAAGAGAGAGAGGTATGGAACCAAATCTTTGATTAAAAGACAATGAGGACAAACGGAAAGACGTATATTATATCTCAAACAGGCATTTAATATAGTTAAAGAACAACTTACAATGACATACGAAATAAATACACATTTTCCTTTCTAGAGAAGAAGGCGTAATAAGTATGATCCTTAATTATTTGTGTCTTTGTACAAATATGGATATGTTGAAATATTTACAAATACATGTACGAATAAACTTCTCGCATTATTTTATTATGATCGAATGACGACATATATACTTTGAAACTCACAAATAACTGTACAAAAACACGCACATACACAAATAGACAGGTTTATATTACGTCTGACATTGCAAAGTATATGACATAATAGTGTTTCAAATAATACACCTTAAATGCCTTTTCTCAAACATAACGGCGCATAAACTGGACGGCTTTGTTAAACAAAATAATCTGCTCGGTAAACAAATTATGATCAACGTTATGGGGTTATGGGGAGGACCAAGTATTATGGTATTATCAAAATGGTACTACACAAATCAGTTTCATTTCTACAATAGTCGAATAGCAAGGATACTATATGAACGGTTCTTTGATCAAAATTTGCTATCAGAAATCGAATTTTGTCCAGCGCCTATTATGAACAAGAGTGAAAAGGCAAAATAAAATGTATGATAGTAGATTTCATCCAAACAAAACTCAAACGTGCACCAATGCTATCTTAAGATGGAAAAAGATTTCTTTTTAATATAAAAAGGCAGTGAAAACTTCTCCAACTATTCAAAAATAAATACTATTATTGATGAAAACAGAAATATCATGACTATGGCACGATCATACGTGAATTTTGACACCATGAAAAGGCACGTGAACATAAATACGACAATAATAATGATGATGATAAAAATAATTAAATAATAATAATTATTAAAAAAAAACATGCATGAGTAATTCTTATGAGAACCTTATTCGAATATGGTCTGGTTTTTTCTTCATATACATCCACTTTAATAACGTGTGCTATGTAATGACAAATCGAAATAACGTTCACGAATACACCATTGAGGGAAGTAGAAGCACTTGTTATTTATAGCACCTTAATACACGCGTAAGTTACACTGAGCACAGATTTGTTAGGACTAACAATACGATATTCATGATTTTTCTCATGCCTCTATGAGCAATTAGTTAGGACACTAAAAATCTGACTTTGTTGTTCACATGAATAAACGAGCTAGCCATGTTAATTGTAAAGGGCACGTTAATATTTGTCACTATTTGGTGTTATACATTGGTGTCAAATTTAGCACTAAAAGTTGCCAATGAGAAGTGCTGACAACAAACAAAATGCCAATTTTGGTATTTGAGGAGTAAAAGACACATAATATTATAGCACTTGTTGTTATAAAGCACTTTACTATTCGCATACATTATGTGTAACACAACGGCGTTACATTCAAACCAATAATGTCTTGGCGAACACTAGGAAATTAGAAAAGATGCCTATTTAATGTTGCATGTATACCCCGAATTCCAAATGACACCTTTGGATATAAAAAAGCACCTTTACGTTTGTTCGAACATGTATGACTTGCTGAACAGTTCTGACAATAAACAATGTAAACTTGACTATGTCTTCTGTTCAAACAACATATACATTATGTCACCAAGTAGACGCCCCATAATTGTTATTTTGTGAATGTAAGTCATATAGTAGCCGATTTTAGAGTTGAAAGGAACTCCCACATGCATGCACATCGATGAATGATGTAACATGACACGAAACAGATGAACTCTGGACAAATTACTTCATAGAAATTTATAATCGGTTAAACAGAAAACAGGACTCAGGCGATCACTTGAAATGTTTCATGGAATATTATAGATCAACATAATTAATGCGTGTTTATTGAATATCGACGGAATATACCCGTTTGTAATTAGCAGTAATTCGGAGCAATGAACTCTACAGCGAAACCGCCTTCATAATACAAAATGAGAATACACTGAGCTTTATTATCTTTCCATATTTCGTCACTTCGCATCTCTGCGTATTAATCAATTCTTCGTATCCCATGCATTTTCCAAACCAAAAACTGATATACCCGTCAATATAGGATTATTCGGTGATATACTGTGGCTCTCAGAACCCCGCGCTCGGTCCATCAAACACAAAAATCAGTAAAAGAATATATGTGTCATGAATCAGACTAATACAGGATTAGTGGATCAGGAAATTGATTAAAAATATGGGGTTACTCTCGTTCATTCCATTTGCTGAGAGATCACGTGACATAAACAAGGTCGGTCATTTTGAAAAGTAAGAAAACATGTCTTCCTTCTTAATTAACCCCAGCAAATGCGCGAAGCTTCGCAGAGGACTGTCTGAAGATTCTTCGTTATTGCGTTTAATGATTTCACTTTAATTATATCTTATCTTGGTTTTCATCTTTCGGTTATTGACAAATTTTTGTAATCGGGAAAATTCAGCTTGACGTAGATTGCCCATTAGTAAGCGTGTACTGAGGTCATACAATACCCTTTTCTCTTCAGAAATCAGGGGTGTTTAATCCCTCGGTTCGCGTTGAAGGGGCTACGGGATTACTGAATTTCGGCGCTATCTGCATCTAAAAAACTGTCTTCCCTTGATTGAAATCTGTTCATCCCTCCTCGAAGGAGAGGAAAGGGTGATTCAGATTAACAGATTGCGTGTCAGTGATCGCTCTGTTAACTTGGGAAAACGAACGGAGAGCGATCTGATGGCAAGGAAGGGGTTAACGGGTATTGAGTGAGCCCCCAGCGTGGGAGGAGGGGTATCAACACAACCCTTTCTCGAAGAAACAAGTCGTCATGGAAATAGTCTTCAACAAAAGCCGTTTTGGTAAATTAGATACACATAGAATGAAACAGCATTAAATGAAGCATCGTTTACATACAGAATGAGCTTTTTAGATTGATAATTAATGTGCCTACATTGTAAACAGCTTGAATATAACGGACCACCTGTATAGTTTTGTAGGATTTGGGTGATGCTATAGGGTCTGATGAAGAAAAAAAACAATTTTAAAATAAAAATTGCCTGTCAACGAGAATAGGAGTAGAGATGATGCAATGTATTACAAGAAGCCGTGGAGTCGGATACAGTGAAAAAGCCTCCTTCATCCTCATCGGTGCCACCGGGACGCCACGGCGCAGAGCAAGGGGATCGCCCCGTCTCTGACTCACCGACGGTCCCCCTCCCGTCATTATAGACACTCTCAATTTCAAAGAAAGCGATCTTTTTCTTTACAGATTTGTTTGACTTATTTCCTGCGATTTTCTTCTTTGTCTTCAACCTCTGAAGGAAGTGTCTACATCTTCGCAAGGCTGACTGCAGTCTTAATAGGGGTAGTTTGCGCGGGAATTACACAAGAACAAAAATGGGTTAAGATTTCGTCGCTCCCGGTGATCCACCGGTAATACGTGATTAGGTGAGAGCAACGAAATACCGATCTTGATGTACACGGAGCAGGGATAAAATTAGATTTTGGGAGCCGATTCATGTTATTCGTCTGTAACTTGTCTGGATGACGAATATAGACGGAAGGAAAACAAGAAGAGTGTGATGAAATAAGCCTATATGCTTTTAGAATGATAACAACTTAATTAATATCATAAATATAGCCCTTATTGTGCAACATAGAGAGATGTTATCATGATTATAACTAATTAAGCATATTTGTCGCACATAATGACGTGGCCTTTAGGCCTATTATATAAACTTGTTCAGTTTTACACATCATTTTTATCTCCTTTTTAATGAACACAATAGGTCAATCGAATTAGTTGTTATTATTACTACATATGAAGAGGAAGCTCAAAGTTAAGTGATTTTAACTGATTACGAAGTAATTTACAATAAATTAAATAACTACTTTGTCTTTTCTCACGAAACGTGGACAACGGGTGAATACATTCATAACAACACGATTTTAAGCACCATCAGAATGAAGAAAAGAATCGAAAATAAATACTGAGAGCAAATCATATTTAGCAAATCAGAATTCAAAACCATGCATAGACTTATTCACATCGAATTGCTTAAACATTTTCTTATCAATACAATATATAATCATATTAATATTAAACACATTTAATGACGAGGCACAATAATATTGCGTCTCAAATGTTCCCGAGACGGTAAATAATATATATTTATTTGTATATATTTATATATAAGTACATTTTACAAGGCAAGATCATGGTAGCCATATTGTCCTATTGCTTACAATAACATTGGCACACAACAATCAGCGTTTTTGTCCTCCACTTTTTGCTCCTCATAGTAATTTGTCGTTGCCATGGCAACCGGGTCTTGGGCCTCGATGCAAAGATGCAGTACGGACGTTTACCAAGACGCAGACGTTACATGCATTTTACAACACATCGAATCGTTGCCACGGTGATTCATCTTTATACATGCTCGATTGAAAGAGAATGACGTCATTTTCCGCATTGCGAACAAAGTTGTATCATTTGAAAAGTCCTCAAAAGGATTGATAGAGTCAAAAAGGAGACGATGGTAAGAAGAGCACGAAAATGTTGTGGAAGTCCGCATCATGATTGTTTTAGCTGTCTTTTGATCGCGAAATAACGTTCAAATGCGAGAGTGCATGAGTGGTAGCGCCATAAGTCGTCGAAATCGGTTTCCTCTTGTTCTTTCAGACCATGCAGAGTCCGTCTGAGGTTGCCTTTTTCGGGGATGTGATGGCTTTCCCCTTGGTCGGGGTTATGCTCTCCACAATGAGCGATAAGCAGTCAAGACTTGAAGCATTCCCGCAACCATTGTAACCTGTGATGATGTAAGAGAGAGAGAGAGAGAGAGAGAGATGGTTAATAATGCATTCAATATCGTGTTCAAAGCAGTGACATCGTATTAAACAGTAACGTCATTAAACAGTAACGTCATTCAACAGTAACGTCATTAAACAGTAACGTCATTGATAGACCAGCTCACAAAAATATTCAGATTATATGTATGATTCTCCTAAGATGTATGATTCTTCTAAAATGCATACTAATGACGTTTTAAAGACTTGTTCTGAGGTTTGTCCAATGTAGCAACACTCAAAATCTAACGAATGGCACAAAACAACTCAAACAGGTAAATGCAATCATTCGTCATTCCCGCTGAATTTGAATACATTTGTGAACTAGTCTATTGTCAGCTTTCCGAGTCCGTCTCCTTCTCAGGTGCAAGTCCATCAAAGTACCCATTTTATAAGGATGACCAGTACAATAGAAAAAATATTATACAACCCAGCAAGACTTTGGTAAACCCAGTATTCAGGAGGTATTACCAAGACTTTTTAAACGTAGCATCACCAAAACAGTTAATGTAATGGGGGAAGAAAGAAAGTAATCTATGGGCAGTAGTGAACAGTGTGAAGAAACCGGGGCCATGTCCTCACATATTATGATGAAATTATCTTTGTAGATTAGGAGACGTTACGCATCAGATAAGCCATAATGAATGAAGGCTTGAGATCGTCTCGTCATTAATCTGTCCGACGCTTTTTGAGAAAGAGCCTAAGTAAAAGGCAATCAATCAGTTCGCATAATATAAAATTATACGTTTATGTAAGGCTGGGGGTTTTAGTGTAAAGTATTGTTTAAGGAAAATGAAAAAAAAACATATGAGAAAGAAATAGAAGTAAACAAACCGACAAATGACACATTTTCCCCCCAAAATACAATGATAAGTGTTGATTAACAAGTGAACTAATAATGTTATTTTATAGACATTTGCTTTGCCATTTCTCTCTGCTTTTTTATGGAGGGGAGGGGTGTGGGACTGGCTTTTACATCAAATTAATGTAGGTAAAGTGTTGCAATGTCTTTGTACAAATGTCTAGCCCTTTTATTTTACATCTGCATAAAATACAGCAAAATAATATGAAGAAAGATCGCAATGCTTTCGTGAAGGTTACGATTGTTTTACGCGCAGCTAATGACATCGTAACCATATTGCATATAAAACACTTAGAATGAAGACAAATATTCAAGCCCATTGACAAAAATGGCCCCATTCCTATACTCCAATACCATCTGACCAATCCAAAGAGGTTAATAAATAATTTTATTTTATCATTAAAATGTTATTTGAAATACAAAGAAAATATAAGATACTTCGATAATGAAGAAGTTAAGAAAGTATTAGAAATGTCAAAATTATTATTTTAAGAAATTATGTTGATCTTTTATATAATTCATTAGTTTTATTTGACTTGTTTTGTAAATAATATATATGTATTTTGAAATGGAACAATAAAGTCCCTCTGAAGAGGTAAAGGGAAGAAAAAAAATACCATCTGACCATCAAACAAAAAAACTTGAAAGAGAAACTATTTCCGAACACCATCATACTCAAGTACGACGTCAAGGATTTATGTGCGAAACTCTCGGCTTTATGGGACGTTTGTTGCAGCATCGAATTCCAAAGATTTATCATTCGTTTACATATCGAAGGAGAGGCCATCGTCATCCCAAGAGAAAGATTCGGTGAAAAAAGGAAAAGAGGTTAAGGTACTGTCTGGCGTCAGCGTCAAATCACAGCTCCCCACAACAGTGCCATAAAAAATAGCGTTTAAACCCAGCCCCGAAAATAGTAGAGGTCCTAGTATGTTATACTGCGTCCCCCGAGGTTCCAGGAGTTAATATGTAGGAACGTCTCCAACGCGCTGTAAAACTGTAGTGGGTAGGCTATTAGGGGAGTGCAGACACGAAAACATTTTTCATAATTGTTGTTAAACGAAAAACCGGCACGAATGGATGCCCCGAAGTATGACGACGGATTCTTTTATTCTAAAAAGCAATTTCTCCTTCAATATTTGTTGACATAAAACAAAGAAAAGCAATAAGTTTTATATAATGCTTCATTTATCGTGACTTCGTTATATTCTGACGATCATTCCTCATAATTATGTAGGTTTTAGAGGAATTACACTAAAATTATCACTTGATTGGTACATATTGAGTTCACTCTTTTTTAATATTCATGTCAAAAATGGAGCGGTTGATATTATAACGACATTATAATTATGTTCTCTAACCAGGTGAAGGTTCTTAGCAACAAAATTAACCCTCAATATTGAACTGCATTCTAAAACAATCAACAACAACAAAACGTCCTATTTCTAACATACTTCCTATGCAAAACAAAATATTCAATGAAGACAAATTGTAAAAACTAAAAGAACAAAGTTAGAATCCAAGGCAGAGAGAGAGAGAGAGAGGGAGCTGATCTGTACAATATTCTTTTATTGATAATTTCCGCTTCGTATTCGGCTGACCAACAAATGCAAGAATATACCCTTATCTTGTAGCCGAAATTATAAAAATATAGTGCATTGACATTGTCCTCTTTTGAAGAACCATTTCCAGTTTCTTTAAAAACATTTACAGTTCCTCAAGCGCGAAAGAGATAACGTTTTCTACAGATTTTGAACTTAATCACATCTCCAGATATTGTACAAAGCTATGCGTAGAAAACCTGATGGTCTGGTATACCATGCATGCATATTTAAAGAGACACTATTATTAATCCCAAAGTCATTAACGAAGTTCAGTCATGTAGTGAGATAAAATATGAATCCTATGTCATAACAATCTTTATCGATAACAAAATACAATATTGACACGTGTAACTGAAATCCTTGCGGTTGATTGGTTCCGGTTAGATTTGTTTCAGAATTTTGACAATTAATATTTAGTTGTTAAAAACGCGTTTAATGAAACGGGGCCCATGTCTTTTTCCCAACATAAGCATTATGGAGAGACGTTTCTTCGTTGTAATGAATATTGATATGCAGTCTATTTCCTGTTATCTCACGCTCTTCGAGGTTACAGTGATACTAAACAATTATTTATGTGGAAGTGTCATTTATTCAAAGCAATAAGCAAAACCAAAAAGTATTTATTATCTACTTAAGATAAGAAAGGAAGCAACATTCCTCCCATTATATTAAACATTATGTTTTTTTGTGTTTTTTTTGTGTGAAATTTCTCTGATTTCTGAGATTACTTTTTAAGATTTTAAGTAAAAGCCGGTTGAAAAATAAATTATTGAAAAATAATAATAGTGTGTAGGAAAAGCCCAAAAGACTATCTTTTGGAGCTAGATTTGTTGAATAATATGATTTTTAAAAAATAAAAAAATGTTAGCTTTTTCGAGTATTATGAAAATTAAACTCACACTTTTCTACAATTTCAAAATATTTTATAGCGCTTTGTTTGCGACGTAAAACTCACTAGAACCTCGTTTCATTCATGGATTTATTCGAACTGTAAACATGTAACCAGCTGTGGGAAGCACGCAGATACTGCTTTAAGGGTTTCATCACATATGCTACTTCGCTTTAGCTAGAGATCCTCTTCCATTGTAATTGTGAATCCCCCGTCCTCTTAATAAGAAATAAAAATGTTCTTTCAGGCACCGCCTGTTCACGCCCGTCAAATTCTACATCTTCTTCACGGCTCGGACGGGAGAATGTCCCGGCATCTATTGATGAGCCGCCGAAGACTTGCAGAAAACATCAAACAAATTACGGATTCAATTTGGTGAAGACATTTTCATTATCAGGCGACACCAAAATAACCCGATAACTCTTGTTTAGTTGTTGGACGTGTGTTCGCCATTTTCTCTTTCGTTTGTTGCAGTATAACTGGATGCTTGTAAAGTGTCGGTGTAGATTTGCCGGTACGTGTAAATGATTGTAAATGCATATTTCAAGTAGCAATACAAACAATGATATATTGACCGCGAATAGCATTAATATATATATATATATAGGAGATTTGAAGAAAAAAAAATCCCATGTTCATAAAAAAGAATCTTTCTGATTTTGTGCGATGTTTGTTCACAAATTACTATTAAAACTCTAGGAGAAATGATCCATGGCATCTATACGATGGAGGTGAATTTAAGGACAGCAGAATAGTCAAAGAATCAGATAAGTGGAATACAGAATTGGTAATGCAGTGATCCATTATTCACAAATTGATTCTCACGTTTATCATTCTTTAGCTAAAAGTTGAAACAGACTTGATAAGGTCCTATTCAAGAAAATCGTGAAAGTATAAAGATAAACTTACCGTAGGGCGACGAAACGTCATAACCGTCACCATATTGCTGTGCTTTGTCCGACGAATATGACCCTGGACTACTGCCGTCCGTCTAAGAAAGAAAGAAAGAAAAAAATAATATAAATATTTAGCTTGGGATTGACAGGATTTTGAACGAATGACAAATTATCATGTATAATGTCTAGACGTAGATGAACAATTTACAGGAATCATTACATGTATAACGTTGTGATGTTTCCGAATTAGCCATGGTTTAGATGAGGATCGGTAAATTTCTTGGGAGAAGGGTCTTGATCGGAAAAGTTTTTCGAATAATCCTTATTGCTTTTTTAGTCTGGAAGCATTCTTGCTCCAATCGATATGATAACGAGTCACGAGCATGGTAATACTCGCAGTGATTAGCATATCATCATCATCATAATCATCATCATCATCATCATCATCATCAATATCATCATCATCATCATCATCATCATCATCATAATTCTGTCCTCCAAACCATACCAACTCATCTCCGCGACCATCTCAAGCCTATTCTTAAAGCATCATCATCATCATCATCATCATCATCAATTAACAGAACAAGAACAATTCCATAATCATCCCCACTACCATCATTATTGTTATCATGATAAAAACCACCGCTGTGCACACTTCCCAATTGCAGACGACATCAGGTGGTTAACACTGATTAAGAATAAAAACCCGAAAGGGCGGATGAAGAGAGGGGCATCAAGGGAGGGGAGGGGCAGCCCCAACTGAAAGGGGAACACTTGGCGATCTGTCTGCCCTCTAATCGCAGTCATTCCCTCAAACTAACCCCATCTCCTCGGGGACACATTCACAAAATGGGGTAATTTTTACAGCTTGTTTACGAAACCTTTTTGTCGTCACGAGATTGAAGTCCTTAGGGAAGGTCATTACTTTTGACTTTATTTACCAAACTTCATCTCATGGTCCTCACCGCATTGAGCATGGTTGTCATTGCCATATTTTTGTATTTCATTCGATTTCATATCTAGACAAAACAAACAACTGTTGGTAACGTGCCATTTATCTCCTCCATTGCTTATCTTCAAAACATTGTTTGGAAAATGTTTCACTTTGCTTTTGGGGCGCAAAATTGCCACTACGCCTAAGCAAGATGATGACGATTTTATAGCACTCTTCGCAAAGCTACCCCCACCCTTACATGTAATTATATTGCAGTTTTGCTTGCATTATGTACGTGTCACTGCCTAGCAAAGGTTTGTGGAGTTAATGTTGGACGTGCTACAATCATGTCTTCTAGATTGTTCAGTATTGCTCTTTAAAACCGTATCATATTCATACGTCGTCGTATTTACCTCTGCTTCAGGATTTGAATTTCCATTTTTTTTGTACACATGTACAACCCATTTCTGAGCTATAACGGTTTTCCACATTGGTATTTTGTGAGTTAAAGGTAAAGACCAGTATTGGAAACGCCCCAATTTCAAAAAATGAAATGGAAGCTCTCATTACCAATCATGTGAAAGAGTTTGTTTTGACTAATACATGATGATAACAAATTTGCCGGGAAACTGCCTACAAATTCATATATTTGGTAAATTTGTTTCTCTCATGGTCTGTGAGAGATATAGGGTAGTCCCATATACATCTTTCTGTGTATAGTGCTTGTAACTTTACGAAGAATGGGCCAAGTTTCCTATCATTTTGATGATTCCAGAACCTTGCAGATGCTAGATGCTAGATTATCAACCTTTTCTGATCGATTCCACAACGTTTCTTTCACAATGCAATCGCATGACCATAACTGGTCTTTACCTTTAATGAATGATCATCACCATGTATGGTCGGAAGGAAAGCGCCGAGTCGAATTCGTTCAATTAAACGCAAATGAAACATTGGTCGAGCATCCAATATCAAGATGTTCGAATGTCTTCACTTAAAATGATAAATTTTAATTGAATGTAAGATGGGAAGAGATGCAACGCCTTGCATTGGTACTCGAATGTATCATGAGACGGATGTAAGATAAAGATAATGAGTTCAACATGAAATGTTTTCTATTTTGTTGTCTCCTTGTTATCAGCGCCATTATGCTTAAGGTCGATGAACGAAGATTGACATGAAAGTCAATGCACGGGACTAAATTAACGTACACATTATTTTGAAGATTCGAAATCGTAATTTAGATTTTAAAAGACCTTAGTACTCTTGGAATATACCATTTTAAAGGAGATATAATGTATGATATATTATATAGAAGACATATATAATAGAAGAAAGCTATTTTGCTCTCGACACAACACACAACCCTCTTCTCCTTTTTATATAAAAAGATAACCTCATTGAAAAAGGATTTTTGGGAAGGTGTGTTCAATTCACATAACATTTCATTCCGGGTCCCATCGAAATAGAAATAAATCGTTGATAACATGCCTAAGTCAGGTCAAATACGAATACATCTACTTATTTGTAATTCATTATGGTTATTTTGAATAAAAAAGGGTGAAAATCAGAAGGTAGGCATTGTAAATGTAAGCGATGTATGTATTCGTGTATCTCACGTTAGCAGCTCTATTTTAAGTCAATACAGGCTGTATTCCGGGCTTATTCTCTCAAGACTGTAATAATATAGGGCCATTACCGGATTTCGAATTGCACGCGCCCACAAAAAAATGCCATGAACAATCGCGGGGAGATGGAAATGCACTTGTTTTTCAATGGTGTATGTGTGTGTGTGTGGGGGGGTGAGGGTGGGTGTGAGGAAGTGAGAGGGTGTGTGGGGGAGGGGGTTGAGAGGGTGGGGCTCTTCAGAAAGAGTGTAAGGTACAAAGGCAGAAACAAATTAAAAAAAATACAGCGAGAGAGAGAAGGAGAGAGGGAGAGAGAGAGAGAGGAGGCGGGGGGGGGGGACATGGTTTCAGAGTGTAATAACCTATAAAAAGAACTAAAGGAGGAGGGTATAATTAGCAAGGATACCAACAGGAGACAGGTATATAGAACATAAATAGTGAGCGAGAGTGGGGTAGAAAAAAGAGGTACCCTTAATATCATAATTTAGTACATCGACGTCCGGTGTAAGTAGGTTAAAGAATGCGATCAGGTAATCACGAACAAATACGAATAAAAAGAGAGAGATGTCAGAAGAACGGTAACGTTCAATTATCAGGGCGTTTTTAAAGACAAATAGCATCTCGATTTAAGAACAACACCCGAAATCCACAGGCTTCGATTCACAATCCCTTGGTCTTCCTCCTACTCATGCAATAAGAGAGGGTGACAAGACGATAGAGAAGGATCTCATCGCTGTATTCCTCTTAGCAGCTAAAACAGGGGACCATACATTTTGCAAATTTGGTGGGTACTCACATAGAGTTCAGCGACATGAGAGAGAGGAAGAGAGAGAGAGAGAGAGAGAGAGAGAATGAGAGAGAGGAAGAGAGAGAGTGATATAAAGAGAGAGAGAAAGGTGAGAGAGAAAGAAAGAGGGGAAAACACAGACCGAGAGCAGAGGAAGGTGCAGGGGTACGAAACAGACGACAAGTGTACATACTAATTTGAACACAAATGAAGAATAGTCATTATAATGATGCACGGAGAAAATGTTTCGAAATTAAAATGAACGATCTTATCAATACCGGAGCAGACTCGATCTGACTTTCAATTATAAAAATACCCATGATATTTGTTATAGTTATTAACTCACTAGACATTAGTGTAACAAAGTGGTTGTAAGCTTTCATTCATTGCAAATATTGACACTCTATTTGGATTCGATTGGACAGGGGAACCCCCTCCGTCTAAAGATAGGAATCGCTTTTTCCGAATCTGGGGCAAGCGAATACAAGTCAACCTCAGCAATTCATCCTCGCAAAAAAATAAAATCTGATTAATTTCTATCAATACGGGTATGTCCCTGGGTGCCGATATTTCCCCCCAGCGGAAAATATTGAGATGGTTTGCAATTTCCCCCGTTTCCCGCCAAATTGTGACCGCTAACTCGACAACAAATTGGAGGGAACTAACCGAATTTCCGACATGGCGTTGCGATCTTGTCACCTCTGTACAGCGACACCCCTCTCTGTCATAAGTGGACCTTAGTCTTAAAACTCAGGCAACATTTGTCTTGAAAAACGTCGAGATGAGAGAGTGTTTTTTTTTCGTTTGATGAAAATATGATATTAATGAAAGTGTTCTGTTGTGTTTAATTTGGTTTTTGTTCTCGGAAACTTATATATTTATAACGTAAAATTAAATTTGGAAAGGTCAGACTAAAATTTAAGAATCTAAAAATATAAAATTGAAGCCACCTTAACAAATCTTAGCCAAGGTTTCTCCGAAGGTTATTTAATTTTAAGTCATGATTATAGACTTTCCTTTTTGTTATTAAGGGGGTATGAACATTATCAAGACTTTTAAAGGAATATCATACTAAAAGGGCTGAAAATAGAAAATTTGTTGTAACAAGTGACGGATCTTTATTCTGACGCATTATTGAATTATGGGCAATTTTCGCTTTAGGGTACATCGTACAATTTTTTTTTAAAAAAGGTCTGAAACCTGAAGCTATCTTAAAAGTATACACATACTGAGTAATGTGGGTTTTACCCTCCAATCACTTCCGTGTAATAACCAGAAGAACCCTATGACGAACAGTTACACATCTGACGTCATTTCTTGACTTTGGAAAGTCGCAAGTCGTGGAGTAATATTTCAACCCGGTTACGTCATATTTTTAGGTTAGTTTTACTTGGAACTTGAGTCCTTTTCCCATTAATGTTTATTAAATTATGCGAGTTAAAAGTACAAAACTGGGCGTGGTCTAATGGGTAAACAGGTCGCCATGTTGATATTACTACCTCTATAGATACCTATCCCACATGGGAAAATCCTTAATGTTTGTTAGGACCCCCTGTTCTATAATCGGCGATTCGCATCCGTTTTCAAAATTTATTTTAATCGATATGCACCTAATTATGGTCTGCCCTTCTGAAAAATGAATCTCCCTACCCCCTCTGTTCTCCCCCCCTCTCTCTCTCTCTCTCTCTCTTATTCAATTAACCCTTTTTTTTCTCTATTCACTACACCATATACATCTGTGATA